TTGCATTTAGTAAAGTGCATTTTTATTTGATCACATTAGTGACTAAATTTCGCCGCACGAATGAAGTGAACTGAGCGAGATCGAATGAGATAGAGGAAGCCACGATTATTATGTGGACTCAGATAGTATGCATCTGAATTTCAGAGGCTCCAGAAATCTTCTCAAGACACCTTCATAGTCGTTTTTATTCTGTGAGAGAGTGCACGAAATGCGGAACACTCAAATATCATATATATAGTTTGCCATTCAGAAATGCAGCCGTGCAAAAAAATGCATCTCTTTTGTTGAAAATTATGAAAGGAAAATAAATTGCTTGTGTCATTTTGAACAGGCACACTTTTGTATTGAAGACTGATCAAATGTGATGCCGCAAAATGTTAACGAGAACTGAAACGCTCTTTTATTCTTTCGTTATATGTGCTGTTGTATTAATTTTTCTGTATGAGTGCTGTTCGTAGCACATTCATTTCATTCGCTCTTTTGTTCATCGTCTCTCTCTCGTTGATTGTGTGAATGAAGATTTTGTGAAGTGTTCGTTGCATTTGGTTCGGTGCCAAGTCTTTATGAATTTATCGCACAACGTTTTACTCTCTGCCTCCCTCTCTATTCCGCTCGTTCAATTGTGGTAAACGTTTGCCGAATTGTGGAGCAAAACCTGCTTCTGGCTTACCATTAGTCTTATTATTCATAATAATTTTGTGTTATTGTTATTGCTTTGTCTTCATCATTCTCGCAACTCTTTTACACATTTTTTCATTTGATTTGGCTGCTTGCGTCGCTGTTGTTGTTATTCTTCTTCGTTTTTTCCATCATCATCTTAAGATTGTGTTCGTGCTGTGCACGATTGAGTGCCGTTCTATGTGGCGGCTCATTTTTTTTTTCATTTGTCTGCACAATTCCATCAAATTTCGTTATGCTTTTGTCTTCTTCAAGAATGCTCCATCGTTCTGTGCGTATTTGTTGTTAGTTTGATTCTCCATTAGCTGTGTTATGTGTGCCCGCGCACCTTCGCTCTCTTTATTTCATTTGTATTTCGGTTAAGTAAGATGATTGTTGCCTTCTCGTATCTTGCGCTTCGATTACTACATGCAATACTGTGATATTTGTTGTGCGTGTGTGTGTGTTTGTGAGCGCTCGCGCGCTCATGCCATTGTGTAGCACATTAATTTTCAGTTTTATTATTCGTTTTCATCGGTCGTTTATTTTTGTGTCTTGATCTTGTGGCTGCGTGAGATTCTCATTCGCTCACACTCTAAGTCTCGCTGACTATTTCTCAACTTCTCGGCTGTCGTTCCCTCTCTTTCGCATCTCGTATTTGTTGTTGGCAGTTTTAGATCGATTTTGTTATTCTTTTTTTTCCTTCAGTTAAATGTTTTATCTTCATTTCGTTTTCAGTATGTGTTCGTCTCTTCTTATTTTTTTATCCAATTTCATTTTTTATTTTATGGTTGCCGCAATCGCCCGGACATAGCAATATCGTGGCTCATATCTCGCGGTTGGTTTCTTGTCAGCATTTATATTAACCGAAACGATTATACTCACTGGTACACTTACTAGTTTTGATGCTGGACAACCACAGCCGCAGCAAAGAAACACCGATTTCGAAATATAAAAAAATTGGTCGATTTTGCATTTGTTGTGTCCAACAATCGAGAGAAAGAGTGAGAAAAAAGAACGATAAATATTTGCATCATCAGTTGGGGATACACACTTTTCAGTTGTTCTTGTTGACTCTTTTTTTCCTGCTTGCAACTTGTTTCATCACGGTGGTCCATTAAATTTTCACTCGGTACTCGTACAAAACAATGAATGTTTAACGAATGTAATGCTGAGATTTGTGTATGTGTGTGTGTGTGTGTATGTTTTTACATATGAAAAAATATACACGCAAAAAGACCTACAAAAAAAACCATCAAGATTTCTGGTTCTGGTTTTGATAAATGGACACCGTGAAAAGTGACTCTTTTTTGCGTTATGTTCGAATCGACTTATTCGCGGAGAAAAAGAAACCCAAGGCGATGGTGAAAAGAGTACAACGGTTGACAGAATAATAGAGTGCCATCGATTTATCAATCGATAAGGCTTGATTCAAGTGGTCGAATGTGGCCAATGGGCCATATTATTTGCTCACAACATTCCATACATCGCTGAAACTCAAATTAATGAAAAATATAAAATCGAAGAGAGCGACGTGGCAAACGTGAACGGAACATGCACCAACTAAATCTGTGGTGCGTGTACACCATGTAATTAACAACATATCAAAACTGAACGTATGCTCTAATTAGACAGACACACACTACAAATTATCGGAACAGACATTCCAACTGACGCGCAGGTTTTTCGAAGAAAACAACAAACACGAATATGTAATTTTCATGTGACGCTGTTCAAACGATCATTTTGAAACAATTGTGGTCTGTTGTCGTTGAACATCGTGGAAACGAAAGGAATTTTCATGAACAAATAGAAGACCAATTATAAAATGATCACAAGTAAATAGCCATGGTATGCCATGGCACCATTTTTTTCGTCTTCTCTTCTATCGCTCTATTCCTTTCTCTATGTGCATCGATGAGAAAGCCAATACAAAATGGAAAGACAAACGGAACAACAAAAAAATGTTATGAAAAATAATGTGCAGGTGTTGATCACGGCAATGAATCTTTTAGCGTAGTGGATCATATATACAAATTATTATTGCATTTATATATTCAATTTTTGATCATTGTGAAAACTATTAAAATGCTACCCTCACTTGCTTTCTATATCACCTGTATATTTTTTTTGAGCTTCACGTTCCGAGCGACATCTCTATGTGCTTGGCATTGAACTCGCGATCCAAACGAGCACCAAAGGCAATTAAAACATTTTTTTTTTGGTGCGAAAAAGTCAAAAATGTCAACTGATTTTGTGTGAAGAAAAACCATGTGATATGCAACGTCCTCGTAGTTAATTTCGATGACACAAACTGTGCAAAGTAATTTCAATTTATTTTCCATCACAAATTCACCAAATACAAATAATAAATCGGTTTTTGTTCAATTTACACGGTATATCTTTATCGAGCGTAAAATGACAGACGTCACAACAAATGATTCCGTATTCAAACTTCAAACAACTAACATTCTACACAAACTTTTTGTTCTAATTTTCATGAGCACATAGAGATGGCGCCATCATGCAGTTTTTTACATTATTTGTCATTGTAAGTGATGGTAGATTAAAATGTGTCTTAACGTTGTTTCTTTGTGTTGTTATCAGCAATCTTGATCTTTTCGAACATGTCAGACCCTAATGTGCTGGATAAACCGACCAAATGCCTCGTTTGAATGAATTTTGAGAAATAAAGTTAAATTGACCAACAGCAAGAAAAAAAGTCATTCGACATTAAAAATTGAATTTTCACCAATTGTACATTCATACAAACTCAAATTCACACTCCTTTGGACCGGGCACGCTTTTGCAACGATCGCACAAAAACACATTAAAGACGATGAAAAAAAAAAGACATGACCATAAATTATCACAAGCATTCAACGAGTGCATGTAACTGTCATTGAGTGATGGAGGTGAACGCGCACAATTGCGCGCACTTCATATTATTATTATTCGCAATGGATTTTGTGGTGTGTGCCTTGTCCGTCTAGTACACGCGCAGCATGCACATAAAATATTTGTAAAAAAAGTTTTATTTTATTTTTATGATTTAAAGTTCTTGTGTTTGTGTGTTTGGTTTGTCTCATTCGCGGTTGATGGTGTTTATATAATGTATGCCTGAGTTTGCGGGCATGGTTTTGGAGTGTCGTACACAAGAAATGCCAAGTAAATTGCAGAATGACTCGATCGAATGGTAATAATCAATAAGTGAGTGTGGGACTGTGGGTACGACAACGACAACACAGCACTGCATTGCACAATAAACAACATTATTTACAATCAACATTCATTTGTGCGGAATAAAAGACTTTTGTCGAACGGCCTGATTATGAGGTTGAGGTTTTTGTCTGAAAAATCTCTTGCCTTTTCCGTTTAGAAAGGCAGACACATTACAAATTATATGCTCTCCATTCGCCGCTTTAAATGCTGTACATTGATTTTTTTTATCTCTTTTTCTATTTCAAAATTTCCAATGTGTGCTTTTGATACGCCATAACATTTCATTAGCAAAGTGGAGCCGATCGACTAGACTTGAATCTTCTTGAAACACATAAAAAAAGAGTATCAAAAGCGTTTAATATTTACTAAATTTAGACTATCGTTCGCACAACGATCGCACTAAAAATGGGTATAGAAGTATCCATTTATTATACCTTAAGCCAAACAAGCTGAAACATAAATCGGCAAAGAACAAACGCTTCCCAATGAGTATCGATTAATAAAATATTAAAAATGGCAATCGATATATTACATGAAACTTCCCATGAATCATAATGAAGTATTTTTTTTCTTACTATGTCTCTTTTTTTCGTTCATTTTTGTTATCCAAAATGTCAATCGGCGTTTGAGGCTTCGAAAATTGTGTACACGATTCCATTGTTTACTTTTGCACACTAATTAAACGGGCTGCAACATATTGTGAATAAACAAAAGCCATATCAAGTTGCCAATCTGTCTTCATACCGATTGAAGGAGAAGGGAAAAAACGAATAACCAGTCATTTTTTTTGCTGTTTCTGTTGTGGTATGTTCGATGTTGTGTTTTTCATCGCTCAAGTAATTCGAACCGAAACGGATGTTTGAAAAGAAGCAAACGAATTCATCATTCAATTGACATTAAAGGAAACAAAAAAAGCCTCGTTTTTGGAAAATCATCGTTCGCGATCATTTCTTTTAAATTTTGACCGCATAAAAGAAACCCTCGTTGCACAGATATAGCTGTTACCTGATTGATTCCAGTTATTATAATGCTAAAACTATAGCTGCTAAAATTATTTTGAACTAGTCATCATGAATTGTGGCAAAATATTAGTCTTTTTTTTTCAATTAGTTTACACATACCTTGTAGCTTAATTTCAGTCTCCCAGTATTTACTCAATTCATTAAAATATTTATCCAAAATGAACACCTTTGATAAGCCAATGCCTAATGTGGCCATGGCTCTGTGTAATAATTTTTGTTGTTGTTTTCGTTCTTATTTTGTGTTGTCGGTGTTCGATGTTGTCGTGATTTAATTTGTTTGTCTCTTGAAATGCGTGCGTTTTTTGGTGTATGTGATTTTATATATATTCTTTTGCGGTCTATTGTTCGTCCTCTTGAGCACCTCTGTCAAATCACAATATCAAACACATCAGAATCAGTTTCACATGGCAAATGAATGAATTTAACGATTAAAAAAACAACAGTAACTTGGTCGCACGCACACTATACCACATACGAATGCATCGAATTGCACTAATTGGTCTCACAAACACACAATTCTATAATTCTTCGAATTAAATTCAAATCTCTTTTCTTTTCGTTTCCTTTATCTCGTTTTTTTTTCTCTCTCTCTTATGTTTCCTATATGTATTCTATTTTGATTTCGTTTTGCGTTTTCTTCCTTTTTTCTCTTCCACTTGTGTATTTCTCTCTTTTTTTTCTTCTTCTGAATTTTCACTTTATAAAGCGCATCTAATGGCATTAAAGATAGGTTTGGCGCTGCGCTTCCATTCACATGCTTTACGTATTCGTTCGTAATGGCATCGAACGAAATAAAAAAAACGAGAAAGAAAAACAGAACAAACTATCAAATACGTATAATCAGTACAGTCCCTCGGGTGCACAAATCTATCTTTCTCTTTCTTCTATTCAGTAATGATGTGGCGGCGGCTCTTATACACCTCTCTCAAAAACACACAAATCACCCGAACCGATCAACAAAAACGATTTTAGCATTTAAGAAAATGCCATCAAAACGAATAAACAATTTCTTTAAAATCATTCAAAATTAATCGAAAAATGATTTTGGTGATTTTCAAATTCACCGCGTGTAATTTGAACATTTTTTCGGATCGCAGTGTTTATTTCACCGTTTCGTTGGCAATGATTACTTTTTCTTCGTCTCGAATTTGATTTTTTTCCGTTGGTTTTGCACAATCGATGGACGGATTTTGTCAAATCGGTGTCAATCGAATGTTTTTCTCACACACAGAGATTCTTAAAACTGCTAATAAAATTGAACAAATACAATTTTCTTGAGGCTGAGAATGAATCAAAGCAACAATTCACACACAGATGAAAAATGAAGAAATAAATTGACACAAACGATAGTGATGATCGAATAAATCGTGATGTGTTTCTTTGTCAAGAACTCACTGAGAACTGAATGCGCCATCCATTGAAAAACATGCACGAACAGAGAGACAGAGAAACACAGTGAAGAAAGATGGTAAAGGTAACATAAAGAACCTGCTTTGACTCAATGCAATTGTATTATTACCTGAATCCGTTTTAGTTTTTCTGCTTGTTTTGTGTATAGCTATAGTTGGCCATGTAGTGGAGAACCACTATATACTCGACCAACAGCGCAACAAGTCTCTTTTACACACTCTGTTATTTTACCAACACATACAGCACACCCGCCGAGCACACAAACACAAAATACCTTAGCTCAATAAGTGCTTGCATCAAAACAGAAAGATAAAATGAACGGCTAGATAAATAACACCATAATAACAAAAACGCTACTCTCTGTACAGTGTACACGGAGCACGACAATCAATGTGGTCCGGGATATATATATATATATGTGAGTGTTGATGTACTGCGCGCATGTATGTGCGTGTGTTGTTGTTGATTACATGGCGCATAAAGGTGAATAAAACACATTTTCAATGAGAAAGTGGACGACGATCGAAGATGAAGAATAATAATAATAAAACGATGAACGAATGGAGAGAACGAGAAAGATCGCATTGAATAGGTTTATTTGAATCGATCGTTGAAATTCAAATATTGCTACACGCACACACAACATCTTCAAACTTATCATCTCTCTGCCTCTCTCTTTCTCGTTCTCTTTCACTACTTCAAACACAAACTAAACTTCATAAGTGTTGTTGTCTAAATAAGTTTCGATTTATGATTCGTTTTTTTATGCGATCATTTCAAAATGACCGTTTCAATCGTAATTCTTAAGACCAATTTCTAGACTTGTAATATTTTAAATGCAAGAGAGATGAATCATTTGATCGGAAGTCATCGGGCCCAAGGATGTTGCATGCTACACACAGATAATATAATTGGCATCGCTTTGATAACCATATATTAAATTGATTTTTAACGGAAAAATCATTTCAAATGTAATTAAACCCTTGATTAAACCTCATAAACAAATGCGAAAGTAAATGAAACGAAAAAAAAATGGCAAGTAAAACGATTAAAAGAAAGAAGACCAGAATAAATTGAATATTAAAAAATAATTAAAAAAGTCTCAAAATAAATGTGACGAAGAGAAAAAATCCTTCTGAATACCCAATGGCGAAAAATTGTGATCGTAGTCTGAGGGCATTGTACAAATAATGTGGTAAAAAAAACTTTTCAGTACCATCCAAACGGTTGCGATGCTTTAATCACGCAATTTCGAAAGAAGAATAAATGTCCCCACTTCATTCGTTTTGGTTCTGTATTTTTTTATCTCTTGCGAGTTTTTTTTATCTTAATTTACGCTTCACACATTTAAAAAAAAGATACCATTTTTGCTGTGTTCTTTTGGGCTCTTCAGTTTCTGCAGCAACATTTGTTGTTATATTTTTTTTTTGTTGTCGCTGTCGTCGTCGTCATCGTCGTTTTTGCCAGATAGTGACTCGCAGTTGTAGCATTGTTTATGATCATCCATGTGACAGAGAGTCAAGTTGATGATCGCACACGTACTCGTTTGGGTTCATTGTTTTGCACCGCAGGCGCAATGGTCGCTCTCTCACTCTTTCCATGATATAATATGCACATCCGTTATTATGTCTTACACATAAACTACATATTCAAGTTACACCTTGTTCATGCCTCTCAATATACACTCTCATACATAAAACGCCATTCCAAAACAACATTCATAGCCAATAAAACCGAACCATTTCGATTTGCATTTTTTCTTCTTTCATTTCGTTTATTAAATCAAAAACTACAATGTAAACACAGACATTGTGTCAGTGAGTCGATTGTATTTTATTCATTTTACCTGAGGTGTGTGCACGCACATACAAATTGTTTGGTGCATGTTCATGCGTACTAAATTTTAAAGCGGAATTCTTCCTTCGGAATAAAAAACAGCTCATTTGAACGTTGAATAAAAACTTTTGACCACTTTGTAAACTACCGAACTCTATTTTGTACGAAATGCTTGCACATGCGTCGACCGAAAAAAAATAATAATAAGAAGAAATCACACAACACTTAATAAATCGAATAAGATTCAATTGCAGTGCAACAAATTGCGTTGATGTTCCGATTTGCAACAAAAAAACAAATGTTTATGTTCTGCTCTCGCCTTGACTATTTTACCCATCGACCGGAATCTTCTATTCGCGCAAGCTACACATTCGCACGTACACATAGTTACGTGCAGATGCAGATAATATAACATACATACGGCATTTCTCCACCATGATGATACCCATTTGCAACGCAAAAGAATAGAAGAACAAAAAAAAATGTATACAAACAAACACACGAAGCGAGAAGTGCCATGGAGAAAATATGAGCGATGTTAAGAATAATTGTTGTGCATAATTTGTATCGACTTCATCATAAATTAACCAACAAAAACACAACAATTTTCAACGAAACGCAGTGACAACCATGCATTTTGTGTTTTTTAAAGGTGTGGCTTTTATTTTTCTGAAAATCTTGACGATTTTGATGAAGATTACCTTATAAAAATCATGTGACTCCCATCGAAAACATTTGCAACGGATTTTGAATATAAAAACTTGAAGAAATGACAGCTTTTCATTCAAATCGAAACAGTTTCTTATTCATTTTGTTTTCTCAAGCTCTTGCCAAGGAAAAAGCTTAAATGTGGAAAAATAAACGTTGAAGTGTTTGCAAGAGCTTAAACAAGCATAACGTTAAGTCCGGATGGAGAACGCCCATATTTGATTTATACCAATGCAAAGCTACTCACTGCAGCTTGTCGAATAAAATTGAAAAAGAAGAAAAGATACGAGCAAAAACGGCTTAAGAAAAATGAGCTACAATTTTACAAATTAATTAGAATACTTCATGTAACAAGTCCGTTTACATGGTAAATGAGTCGCTTTTTTCTTCAATTTAATCCTTCGGTTTCCTGTTTCCCATTTTTGCTCCATGAATTCTATTCCCGCGCGTTGGATTCAAAGAAATTGACTGAAATAAAGTGTTATTCACCACGTATCATGGTCTGATAATTGATTTCAAAGAGATGATCAAATGAAAGTAACTGTTCAATCAAAATGAAGTAATCAGAATCAATTTTCTTGCTTCTGTGGTTTGCCATCGTTTGTGCTGTGCCGGTCGAAGAGTGTCGGCAATGGTTTGTTTTCACCGGCATGTTAGTTGTTCGTTTTTTTCACATCGTTGGTGATTGGCACGTTTTTTTGCCTCTTATTCGAATGAAGCACATTGTTTTTCCACCCAAGTGAGCTCGATAACAGAGACAAGCTGCTTGAAAAAAAAAACCACTCACATGATTTTTCATACATATACGCTCTTCCGTTAAACAATGCAGCGGTTTGGAATGAACATCGGTGGAATTCTATGGTTCTGTTTTCTTCAGGCTTTTTTACGCCTTTCACATTCGTCTTGTTAAGAATATAATCAGATTTTTGCTTTCGTTTTTCTCATCATAAACTCTATTTAACCAATCGCAACCTTTTGATTAAATAAAGCGAATTAACTTGCAATGATTTTTTTCGCTATTCAAAGAAAAAGTACAAGATTGTTTTTCCAAACGATTTTTGCGCAACAATAGAAAATATGAATAGAATACAAATACTTTCTGCGGTAACAGCGTGAATTTATAAAGAGAATATGTAAAATTCCATATAAAGATATCATCTGTTATCAAAAAAAAAAAACCATCGACATGAAAAACGGTGTTCTTAAAGTGTTAAAGAAAACATTAGACAAATCCATAAGTGTAAAACTACATGGCGTCTTTGCAAAACTAATGACACCATTACATTTTAATTAAAATTGATAAAAAATGACCTAATTCCATGTGAACGAATTGAAAATGCAGAATTCGATTTATTATGGAAGATCTACCTTCATAACCTAACATTGAATTTGGATTTAGTGTCACGTACCTGTTTTACAATGTGTGTCATTGTGTTTCCGGCCAATCGGCAATGTGTAGATAGCGGTGGATTTTTGAAAGCGTTTCATGTGTCGAATCGAAGCCGGGTGATTTTGTGACGATGGTGATGAACTTTGTAGCTTTCGCTTTTCGCGTGAATTTTTCGTTTCATGACTTTCCATCCTTGATCGAGGCCATGACGTTGGTTTGCTATCCATGTTTGCTGATTCACTGCAATGAAAAATCAATGTGAAATTAGGGTCAATATTCTCATCTTTTCACATAAGACGTAAATTTTCCAAATTTTTCTTTGATGTACACTTACTCCATTGCTTTACGGTATCGACAGAAAAAGTCCGGCCGTATTCGATACTTGTACAATAATAATTCACATTCTTTCAGTAGGTCAGCATCGGCGTTTGACATTTTATCTTTTATGCTAAATGGTCCAAGCGGTTCGCCATGGAATTCGGGAATGTTATTAAAGAAATCGCAGGTCTGTTTAAAACTTTCCGGTGTGCTGGTTCGTTCTCGTTCATTGCGTTCAGATTTCGATGTGACCGTGGCATTGCCCAAATTAATGCCAAAAAATCCATTGCAATCGGCTTGCACCGGTCGTTTTGTCGGCGTTGTCGCAGCTGTGGCCGGCGTTGTTTTCTTGCCATTTGGCAAACCGTTAAAGTGTGGAATTTTCGGACAGAAATTTGCATCGCTTAAAATCCGTTTGAGCGCAATTAACGGTGATGTAGCCAAGGTTTTCTCACCTTGATATTGTTCATATGTTTGATCGGGCAATAACAACATATCGTCGCATGTCTACCCACATTCTGAAATTAAATCAAAGGGGAAAATACCGTGAATTTAATTAATTAACTTTATGTTCGTCGCTGACTTTTCAAGCAGAAATGAATTACGAAACTATTGTTTAATGTGATAAGAACGTTGCATGTTGTCACGAGCACAAACTCAGCGGTGTATATGTGCAACGATGATATATAGTAAAAACTAAACAAAATGCCTCAATTTATAA